TATACTTGTAGTAAAATGGAAAAAATAGAATATTTGTGTTTGTGTAAATGTGTATGCTGCACTTTCTTACAAGGAATTAAAAATAAATGAGAATTAAAATGATTCTTCAGATTTACTTCTCTTTCCCCTTATTAGTATACTAAAACAATTGCCACTGTATATAACTTTTGATTTATTACCTCTCATTTGCAATTTATCCTTGCAAAATAGGAAACGCCAATTTTCTTGTTCTTACTTTGTTCAGTTATTTTCTTTCTTGGAATATTATTGATCTGTATAACTATGACATATCAACAGAGTTGATTTTAAATGCAAGTTATGAAATTCTGTTTAATCAATGAATCAACACACTACCAGAAAAGATTTCCCACTTTGACTAGTAAAATTTACCTTATCTATTCCAGATATTATGCTCTTAATTAATGGCACAATCTTGCTACTCCTTACAACATCATACCCCAAGAAATACTTCACTTGGGATAATGCAATCACGATGGCTGAAGCTGTTGTGAAGCCAGAAATCACAGAGTGACTGATGAAACGAATGAGCCATCCAAGCCTGTAAACAAGATGGATAAATATATGTAAAACTATAAACTCCTATTGAAAAGCCTATGAGGAATAACAATCCTAGAAACAGAAAACATGAATATAACCAAACAAAGAAAGAATTATAGACCATGGTTCTCCATTTCTCCCATTCTATCTCTCCTTTTTCTTTTCAGTTTTGCATAAAAGCAGCAAGATTTCATTGAAATGTAAACAGTCATTGCTGAAGTGAGCCCCATCCCCAACTCTGTTTCCCTCGAATAAAATGAAACTAGATCTGAATTTTTGGTAGGTGAAGATACATTTCAATCATTTAAATATAAGAAAAATGCTCTAATACACTTTCAAGTCACTTCTTTGCTCTATGCTAGCATCAATTTTACACTTCATTAATGTTATCACCATAGGCTTATATTATCTTGGAAAAACAGCAAATTTTATGATCAGCAAAGGGTAAGTAAAACTCGCAACATTTTAGCCTGTCGGTGATTGGTGACCACTCTTTCAATAAAGAATGAAATTTCAAATTTGAACATTTAACCAGTGCACAACTATCTTAGATTTCTGGACAGGACGCATAGTTAGATGTGCATGCGAATTATTAGTCACTGGCAAATTCAAGAACAAATCATACAAACTGAGATTCTGCATTGGGATTAAAATAACCAGTGGTACCTCAAGAGGCCCATCATGCATTCCAGGATTCCAACCATAAGTGCCAACAAAATTGCAAGTTCTGTGTATAATTCATCAGATGAGTCAACAATTTCACCTAAAACATTGGATACCAGAAGAGAAACCAATGCCACCGGACCAATAGCAAGCTGGCGAGAGGACCCAAATATAGCATAAACAAATATTGGCACAAAACCAGAATCTGTCCAAAACCAAAATAAGGATTCCACAGTTACTAAGAAGATGCAAATTTAGAGTTCTGATTCACAAAATGACGGCATGGAACACGACAACACCATCAATATCACTACACATGACCAGGGTGGTGACACTGATTGCACTATCAAATAAAGAACAAATGTAAAATACAGTTGTATATCATCATTAACTTACATAACCCATATATTGGTTGAAGTCCAGCTAATTTTGCATATGACATTGCCTGGTCATTTACAGAAAAACTGTCAAACACATAAAGCATAACTTTGACAGCCGCTAAAATTCATTGCTTTAAAAGAGTAATAGGTAGCAATCAAAATGATAACAAGAGATCATGAAATTAAACAAGTTCCATCAAAGAATCAGTCTAGAACAGAAAGGGAAATACAGCATTCAAAAACCCATTCCCCAAAAAAAATAAAAAAAGGCGGAAAAGCAACTTTGGAGAAAAATACATAAAACTTAGAAACTGCCAGCCAGACTTGAAATGGTTCCCTTAACAAAACAGCCGAACAATGAATTAGGACCATAAATTACGATGCTAGAATAACAAGAGCAAATCAAACACCATTCCTTGGCAATAATTGTAGTAAATTTGTTTACTGTAATTTAAACTACTTGAGAGGGGTGAACATAAAGGTTGTTGATACAGTTGGAATAAACATCTTATTATTGGCCCATTTCCTTCTCACGTGTTCCATTGCTTCAAAAAAGGGGGAAAAGAAAGCCAAACACGTCGATCAATTCTATACAGAAAATATTGTCCAATCATCTTTTAAATAAACACTGAACAAGAACCAATTCTTTACTTGAATCGGTAAATTGGAGAAGGAAATTCCAATCCACTCCGATTTTGATTTTGTTGATGCAACCACGATAAATTGAGGTTTGGTGGCTTGTCCATCGAAAAGAGATCGAATTGACAAGCGCATGACTTGCAGATGTGAGCGGAAAAGTCTGTTTGTTACCAAGAAAACTTGACAACCTCAAGGAAAAGAGATCGAATTGACAAGACTATGACTGGCAGATAAAAGCGGAAAAGTCCGTTTGGTTCCCAAGAAAACTTGGGAAACAGAAAAAAAAAAAAAAAATCAAAATCAGGAAAACAACTCCAAATAATAATCACTGGCAAATCAGCCTGATTAGCAGAGAATCACAAAAGAAGCTCATGAGCGTGGCCAAAGTTTCTAGAGCTTAGCTTCTAGATCACGACGTAATTTTAATTCTTATCCCTATTTCCTTTACTTTCCATGATTTTCTCGGTAACTAAACAGCAAATGAAGCAGCCTAGTAGTTTTTAAAAAAAGGATTTTGATTCTTAATAAACAGTCTAATTTTTTACTTTAAAAAATTAGGCGGTGAAGACGAGAAAAGCTCATATTCATAAATGCAACCAAACAAAAAAGTCAAACAAAAATATTTTTGATAAACAAAAAAACATTCATTTCTATCTTCATCTTCAAATTTTCCCAGGGAAGGAAGGTATGGAAGAATCACCTGCGGGACGAGCATGACACCGACGGTGATACCAGCCATGAGATCGAGCTGCAAGTACTCCCGCCATTTGTAGGTACGAATCCACCGGCAGCAAGGGAGGAACAGGTCGATCCACTCAACAGCCGTCATCCGCTTAATCTTGGAGACCCATCCAGAGAACAGAGCATTAGACCAAACCGAAGAATCTCCGGCGAACGACGTCGTTTCCGGATGCTGCAACGGAATGATTTTAACGGCGCGGGTGGGCATGGATGCTAAGCCAGCGGGCAAGGAAGAGGAGGAAGGGGAAGAATAAGAAGAGGAAGCGAGATCTTGCGCGCTAGACGAGACGTAGCCTATCTCCATGCGCCGGCACGGTGCATAATTTACAGCCTCCGCGACCGGCGAGCTTCAATTTATGCGGAGCGCCAAGTATTTGTGGCGTGGGACGCGTAAGTCAAGGTGCGTTACGCTAGGTAGATCCCCTGGCCAAGGTGACGAAAGCGGAAGAGAACGAAACTGCTTGCGTGTACAATGAATTTGCTCCCACATTCACGCCCTCTGTCGTCTTTATTCCTTGGGTTGTTAGTGGTAATGCTGATGCAGTAGCCACTTAATCTCGCAGTAAATAACGGTATTTTGCATACAAATGCTAGTAACTTATTTTAATTCAGTGATTATTTTTTTATTAAATTATTTTTTAAATTAAGTCACATAATAGATTAATGAGGTGAAATAAGATATAAAAGATGGTTATTTTTTTATTATGTAATTAAAATAAAAAAAATACTAATAACCTATTTATACTAAAAAATGTTTTGGTGTTACTTTGGTTATAGAATCAAAAATATTTTTTTTTCAAAAAATATAAATTATTGTTAA